TAAATAAATAAAGAAAATGCGGCGATTTACCATTATCATTATTACAGTCATTTCTTTGATTCTCTCTCTCTCTCCCCAAACAAAAGCAGAGCAGAGCAGAACAGAACAGGGCGAAATCTGAATTCTGAAAAGAAGACACTTGAGACTTGACTTTACTCAGGACAAATGTGCGAACCGGAGGAATACTGTTTGGCGCCAAAACAACAGCAGCAGCAGGAGCAGGTCATGGACTTGGATGATGTTGATCTCCAGAATTCCTGGCCATTCGATCAATTGACCTTCGTTTCCGATCCAACCTCCCCACTTATCATCCCATCATCTTCCGACCATCCTTCTTCTCCTCTTTGGGCCTTCTCCGATGACGACAAACTCGCCGCTAACAATCTCCTTCTTACATGTACGTTTGTTACTACTGTCTCGGTTTGGATCGGTTTGGATTTTAATGTCTTGGAATTCATTCTCCTGGTATTGGGTTGGATGGATTCCATTTTATGGGGTTTAAATAGCCTAGTAGCTGTCCCTTCCCTTCCCTTCTGGTTTCCTGAAAATTTTTTGTTTTTTTTTTTGGATCAATCTCTAAGTTTGACCTATCTAATCTATCAATCATCATGATTCTGTGAACACTGAATTAAGTTTTTCATCACCAAATTATACGACTACTGATTGCAGGTACTCCCAATTCTGTAACTGAAAACCCCAAGGATGATGATAATAGGAGAAAGCTGCCTACTTCTCCATTTTGGGGACCGATGCCCCTAGACAACCCAGATGGTTATTGTGTGATTAAAGAGAGGATGACACAGGCACTGCGTTACTATAAGGAATCCACTGAACAACAAGTTCTTGCTCAGGTTTGGGCGCCTGTCAAGAGTGGGAGTCGCTACGTCCTAACAACTTCAGGCCAACCCTTTGTTCTTGATCCACATAGTAATGGACTACATCAGTATAGGACAGCTTCTCTCATGTATATGTTTTCTGTCGACGGAGAGAGCCAGGGACAGCTTGGGCTTCCAGGTCGTGTTTTCAGGCAAAAATCACCAGAATGGACTCCCAATGTTCAGTATTATTCCAGCAGAGAGTATTACCGCCTTCAGCATGCTCTTCTTTACAATGTTCGAGGAACCTTGGCTTTGCCAGTGTTTGAACCTTCTGGACAGTCCTGTGTTGGTGTACTTGAGCTCATAACGACTTCACAGAAGATTAACTACGCACCCGAAGTTGATAAAGTCTGCAAAGCACTTCAGGTTGGGTTTCATATTATTTCTTTATTTGGTTACTGAATAGTGATAAAATGATCAGTCCATTTTTGTTGCTTATAGTCTTGCGACACTGTTTGTTTTGTTTATTTGCAAATAAGTCTCATTTCTAAAAGTTTTGAGATTCCTCATCAGTTACACGATTTCAGTTCTTATGCAGGCAGTCAATCTGAAAAGTTCAGAAATATTGGATCATCCAAGTACCCAGGTGAGTTTCATTTTTAGTTATGTCAAATCTAGTATTCTTCTAGAAACTGAGAAGAAAAGTTTTCTGTCCTTTCAATTCTTTGCCCTCTATTCTGACAGAGCAATGCTCATGAACCAGATTTGCAATGAGAGCCGCCAACATGCCCTGGCTGAAATTTTGGAGATATTGACGTTAGTATGTGAAACTCACAAACTACCTTTGGCTCAGACCTGGGTCCCTTGCAGGCATCGTAGTGTTCTGGCCTATGGCGGTGGTCTGAAGAAAAGCTGCACAAGCTTTGATGGTTGCTGCATGGAACAAGTCTGCATGTCAACAACTGATGTGGCATTTTATGTTGTAGATGCTCACATTTGGGGTTTCAGGGAGGCTTGTGTTGAGCATCACTTGCAGAAAGGTCAGGGAGTTGCTGGGATGGCATTTTTGTCCCTGAAAGCATGTTTTTGTGCAGACATTACTCAGTTCTGCAAAACTGAGTACCCCTTAGTGCACTATGCACGCATGTTTGGACTAACTAGCTGTTTTGCAATCTGCTTACGGAGTAGTTATACTGGAGATGATGATTATGTCTTGGAATTTTTTCTGCCCCCTACAATCACTGACAACAATGAACAACAGATTTTGTTGGGTGCAATGTTGGCTACAATGAAGCAGCATTTCAAAAGCCTTAAGGTTGCTTCCGGAGTGGAACTAGAAGCAAATGAAGGATCTATTGAAGTCATTCAAGCTTCTGCAAATGAAATAGTTGATTCAAGACTTGAATCTCCAGCAATTCCTCCATCTGTGAAGTCAGCACCTGGCCCAAATGCTTCACCAATTGGACAAGAAGCAGTGCAATTAGATTCAAGAAAACAACAGTTAACAGTGAATTTGGACCCTATTAAAGAAGTTGTCAATGCAGTTAATGCTAGCAGAAGTCTAAATCCTGTTTATTTACATAAGGACATAAAAAGGACGTCAGAGAGGAAACGTGGAAAAACTGAGAAATCAATTAGCCTGGAGGTTCTCCAACAGCATTTTGCTGGGAGTCTTAAAGATGCTGCAAAGAGTCTTGGGGGTATGCTTCTACTTCTAAAACTATTTTCACAGTTTTAACTTGCATCACTACAAAGATACTGAACTTTATATACCTAAATTGGACTGTTTATTCATATCCATAAATTGAAATAGATTGTGCTCAATGAGATTCTTGGTTTGCAGTTTGCCCAACAACAATGAAGCGCATCTGCAGGCAACATGGGATCTCCAGGTGGCCATCTCGTAAGATCAACAAAGTCAATCGTTCCCTCTCCAAGCTTAAACGTGTAATTGAATCCGTCCAAGGTGCCGAAGGAGCATTTGGTTTGCCTTCTCTCGTTACAAGTTCACTACCAGTCACCGTTGGGTCCATTGCTTTGCCATCCAATTTGAATGGCTCCAACCAACAGAACTTACCAAACTCTAAACCTTCTGAATCTCTGGGTGACAAGAATGGATCATCCCCATGTCAGATGCCAGGAAGCAGACAGGCTTTTTTGGAAAATCAATCACTGGGAGGTCAGACATCCAGTCAGGAGGAACTTTCCCCTCAGAAGAAGGGCTTTTCACCAGGTAAAAGCCCAAACAGGTCCAGAACAGGCTCAAGAGAAGGGAGTGCAGGGACACCTACTTCCCATGGTTCGTGCCGTAGCAGCCCTGCAGCTGAAAGTGCTTCTACAAAGGACCCACCTCCTGAGTTGACACTTCAACCCATAGGAGAACCTGATCTATCTGCTGCATTGTCAATACCTGATGCCCTTTTGACGATAGAACCTCAACCTCAAGAACCATTTGGAGCCATGTTAGTTGAGGATGCTGGTAGTTCAAAAGACTTGAGAAGCCTATGTCCTCCAGCAGTAGATGTCATGGTGGATGATAGATTTCTGGAGTCTATTTGGGCACAACCTCCTTGTTCTGATGAGGCTCCTAAGAAAGCCATGACTGCTTTTACTCAGACTATGCCCTGTGTACCAGCCAGACCAGAAATGAGTGTGACCATAAAGGCAACTTATGGAGAAGATATAATTAGGTTTAAGATGTCCTCAAGTTGTGGTATAGTGGATCTGAAAGAGGAAGTGGGCAAGAGGCTGAAGTTAGAGGTGGGTACTTTTGATATCAAGTACCTGGATGATGATAACGAATGGGTTTTGATAGCCTGCGATGCCGACCTTCTGGAGTGTGTAGATATTTCAAGATCATCTGGCAGCAGTATTGTTAGATTGGCTATTCATGACATAATGGCCAATCTGGGGAGTTCTTGTGAAAGCACTGGGGAATTATAGTGAGTACTCATGCTGTAGTCTGTAGAGAAAGAGAAAAGGCAGATTTTGGCTCATATAGCTCTGTCAAGTTGTAAGAATTAAAGAAACTTTCGTTTAAGTTATGAATATCCTAAAAGCCCAAATATCTTGCTCATCTTGGACAGGAATGGGTACGTGAATATATCCTGAAACAGTTTTCTGCTATGTACAAACTTAAGAATACGATTTTGCAAGTAGGAATTATGATTTTGAACATTGCACTTAATACCCTTCTTTATTCTGTAGTATTGACCTGCGCGAATCAGTTTCCAGCCATGAACAAACTTAAGAATACGATTTTACAAGTAGGAATTTTAATATATGCATTTGGATATATTCTACTTGAATAATTTATAAATTGTTGTTCTTTTCCTTGTCATGAAATAAAAGTTGCTAAAGACGGAAAAATTTCCCCTTCATTAACATGCAACATGCTTCCAAGTTCTGACTGATCAATCCAACAGCCCTGAGTTGCGAAAATTTTCTAAGTGAAGTCGGGAAAGAGCTCCTAGAGCACCTACCATACATCTTCTTCAAAGACCACAATGGATATGTCATAGCTAAGTGGATCATCAATTACATCAAGTGAGTCCAGTGTCAATCTAAAAGAAATGATTGACTAGATGTCAAATGATCAGAGTCACAAACGTCTTGGTTTTTGTTGAGGGTATCCAGGCATGCCCATTCCTGGATCTTTCCTTCTCAACTGCTGATGCTGCTGTGCAGTAAGGGGTCGCTGAATTGGCATGCCTCCTGGATTTATCCCGCCTACCGCCTGAGAAGGGAAATTATAAGCCATTCCCATGGGCTGAGGTGGCATTCTCTGCATTGTAGGCACAGGTCGAGGGACAGATCTATTCACTGCATGAGCACCTCCCATGTTCCCTGCAACTGGATTCCCAGATGATACTGATTGTGAAGGTTGAATACTAGTTGTCCCTTCAAAATCTGTATTTGTGTCTACTGGACGAGTAGGATAATTCACAATTTTCTCTCCGGGTTGGTTGGGTACTAGTGCATTGCGACCAGGCAGAAGATCAATCTTAAAAAACTCATGCTCTAGAGCCTGTGCAGCTGTTATACGCTTTCTTGGGTCATATTCAAGCATCTTTGACAGTAGGTCAAATGCAGCGCTTTTTGGAGAGAGATGAACGACATTATGAAGTCCAGGATTGTCATACTTGTGTGCTTGAATGTGTTGCTGATCTGATTGCCAATGTGGAAGATTTGCTAGTGTTGGCCACTTTTCCAGGGTGGGATGGCCTAAGATCTTGAATATCTTGTCAAGCTGATCAAGTTGGAAAGGATTTGGAGTGGATTTGGCTTCCGCCCCCTGAAATAGGGGCTTCAAAGTCAAAAGTTCAGCAAAAATGCAACCAACAGCCCACATATCAACAGCACTTGTATAATGCTTTGCACCAAGAAGCAACTCAGGTGCACGATACCATATGGTCACAACCACTCCATTTTCTGATAATGGCTTCAGGGGAGCTTGATAAATCCTTGCAAGTCCAAAATCAGCAATTTTAACAACTCCTTGTTCTTCACCCTCACCCATGACCAAGATATTTGATGGCTTCAGGTCCCGATGTATAATCCAATTGCTATGGAGATAGTTCAGTCCATTAAGCAGCTGCCAGAGCAATGATTTAACAGTGTACTGATTGATGGAATGGTTAACCTTGTCTCTGTGATGCCTAATTATTTCATAAAGGTCATATTCGGCATAATCAAAAGCCAGATACAATGACATGTCTGCATGATTAATGTGCACATTCACAAGCTTCACAACATTCTCATGTGAGATCTCCCGAAGCAACATGATCTCACGGATGGCAGTGGGGGAGACACCATCACCATCTTTGGACTGTTTGAATTTCTTGATGGCAATTGCTTTTCCACGATTTGTTGCAGACTTGATTCTAGCTAGAAACACAAGACCATAAGTACCTTCACCAATTTTGCCAATCAGATTGTACTGCTGCAGCCACTCGGGCTTCTCACTGCTGGATAAGGTGTTGCTTCCTCTACTGGAGCTGCTATTGCCATCTCCCATTCTTTCTGTTTTATTGCATGCAAAATCTATAACTAATAAGATACTTTAGTACAACCAGGATTGAAACAAAAATAATGCAGCCACTGGGCGTCACTGCTTGCAGATTAAAGAATCCTGACGATAACAAACAAGAATGATATAAGTTGATGGACTTGTCATGATCTCACTGCATTTTATTGAAACAAAATATTGTGGAGAGACATTACAGTTTTTTATAACAATATAGAAATGCTTTACACAATCTCAAAAAGGCCAGACTATATAATTATACTGCATTCTACAAAGAATAACTTCAATCATTAAGCTTAAATAAGATAAGAGATTTATACAATATGGGTAATCTGACAAATACAGAAAAATGTACCCTAAAATGCAGCATTTTTTTTCCTAACTATAAATTTTCATTAACACAAATCACAGTAAGGCAGCAATGGAAGTAAAATCCTCAAAGGGAGTCTACCAATCTGATAAAAAGATCTTAGCAATGTAACAAATTACAGTAATTTGTATTGAAATAAAATTACATTTGCAATTTACCCAAAAAAAAAAAAAAAAGTTTGATCAGATAAGTGAGAAATCAAACTAAATTGAGATAAATACAAACTTTCCTAAAGAAGGGATTTTTAAGGTTAATCAGTATGGAAAAAAAATATTTATTTTAACGAAGGTTAATCAATATGGGGGAAAAATATTTATTGTAATCAATCTTGGCAAATTGGCAAAACCCATTAACGAATTAAGCATCACAATCTTTGATGACTCAAGAATGACTAGGAAGAAATTCAATGAAAATTGGGGAAAATATGAGGAAAAGGAAAATCAAAACTCGGGACTATAAACGCCGGAAAGAAAAGAAAAAGAAAGAAAGAAAGACAAAGAATCCATGAATTTGATTGATATCCAATCCAAGAGAAAATCAAAAAAGCTACAGCATACCTCGAACTGAGGTCCCAACCACCACAGGACCCTGGAATCGGTATTAGGTTTTACAGATCTTGGATTGAGAGCGAACGCCGCCGGAAGTAGAAGCGATTGGCCGGGAATGAGAGTTGGCGTCGACTGAAACTTTTATTTTATACGGATAGCCATAGGGTTAAAGTCACCGATAGTCCTTGTACTTTAATCGTAAAAATACTTGGGTCCTTAAGAAAAAAGATTTGATCCTTTTGGTCTTCTCTTTATAAGAAAAAAGATTTTGTATATAACAAAAAGCAATATTATTATCTCTGCCAACTTTAACACGGCTTGAGTCCAAGATGTATTCTCTCATCAACCATTCTGTGTTCTCGCCATCTCTTATATATCTGAACGACCTCTTCTCTCCCCACTCAATGTTCTTATCATCCTTAATTTTTTCTACATCCCCTTACTGACGCCATCGAGAGTTTCCGGTGTATGTTGCTATAGCCCTGTCGATTTTCTTTGCACTTTCTGTTTTCCTTTTCCTTTTCCAAAAATACCAACCCAAATTATTTGCCTGGTTCATTCCTGCGTCAGCAAATTCAACGTTAGAAATTAATAAAATACGTATATACGGTACATATTTACACACTTTTGGAAATAACTTTTATATTACGTTAAAAAATAACACTTATTTTACATGAAAATAATTTTCAAATATTGAGTCTACTAGTCATTTTCTCAAATCAACAATAGAGTGATTATTTCACTCCATGAAAAAAAAAATCGAGATTTGAAATGATTTTACCATAAAATCATGATTTTATATTTAAAAATTAAAAAAATTAAATTAAAATTACTAAAAACATATAAATAGAGTATTTAAAAGAAAATTAAGATGTATAA